GGAATGAATCCATCCCAATACTTGAATTTTTACCTCTCTTCATTTTTTCCATTCCCCCATCCTTAATAAGTATTCAGTAATTGCTCTGGAGGCAATCTCTCTATTCACTAGGTCGATATATCTATTTCCCATCAACCCATCCAACTGGGGCATCACACACAGTTCACAGACAAAACATGATTTATCAGGCAGAAATTAATTTTCCTACAGTATTTCATTCTTAATTATCTGAGAACCTGAATGACTCTGTGAAAATCAGATCAATAATAATGCTACTTACTAGAGACAATTAGCTTGGTTCCCGTGCCGAAGTATTTGATCCAGATGCTCCACACTGTGTATTGACTTTGCAATAAGCTAACGTGCTCTCTTGCTATCCCATTGCAGAGAAAATCCCATTTTTTCCCCCAATCACGCCCAGAAGACCAAGTGAAGGCCTGGCCCTTGGCTGCTGGGAGGATGTCAGGAATTTCAGACTTGCACCTGGTTGTTTAGATGATATGTAATGCCCGTCGGAGCAAACCTCTGTCCTAAAATGCTGCAAATTTCTTAGATAACCCCTCCACTTAGTACCGAAGAATTAGACAAAGGTTTCTCTTCAGGTTTAGACACACAAATATGTGCACAGGGTTGTGCATGTTAAAAAACACATACCTCCAGGTGATGATCCCTCTTTCCCGATGGGGTACACCCCCTCTCACCTGCGATTAAGTGACATCAAGTACTGCTAGCATAGAGTTCATTTTTAGTTGTCTTTCTTAATATAGTTCAGCAGAGGGAAAGGAGGGAGAGCCAGCACCATAAGCATCTCGAAGGTGTCCGTGTGCTGCAGCTTGCATTTTCTGCCCCCAGTACGTGGTTATTGTCTGCCCGTCTCCTGGAATCACTCCCGGCTCTGCAACAGCAGCTCACCGGCAGCTTTCCGTGTACTAGCTGGTGGGAGAAGGAGGCTTTCCCCTTGCACATGGGTTCCTTACAAAACAGCCCAAGATAACATCAGAGGAGTCACCGCTACCGTCGATCAAACAGCCTGCATGCTTAGTTTGCCATTTGAAAGAAACTGAATTTGAGTGCTTCTGGGATCTTGTGTGGCATACCGACTGCAAAACAACGTTAAGAAACTACAATTTGTGGCTAGAAGGAGGAACTGGACTGAGGGTGAAGATCGTTCAGTTGATGTAGGTGTAACAAAAGCAGTCATCTACTCTGAAGGCTCCTGGGCAGGAACATTGTGATCGTAATCACAAAGCGATGGCAGGAGTGATGTATATAGATAGAGAACTGTGCAGATCGGCGCTTTTCCTGCCGTGTCCTTAGACACACAGTGAAGGAGGCCACCACCATCACATCTGCAGTTGCTGGAACTGTTTATGCTCATGAGAGTGTGTAGCTGGGAGGACTCATTAGAAGAAACAAAGTGAAACGCTGCATATTGCAGACAGCTTGTCTAACTCCCCTGTATCATCTGGGCTTGCGAGTATGAGGAGGACAAAAATGACCTTTAGCCATTTGGAGACCTAATATGTGTTTGAAATTGTTGTGTCACTTTTTCATCCCGTCGGGCTAATATTCTTTAATGAGTTAGTTGCACTTCAATGAACAAAGTGAGAAGCGTATCAAGGTGCCACAACAGAGGAAAATATTAAGGAGAGGCTTGATGGTAGAGAAAAACCTCTGTGGAATAATTTCTCAGGCATGAGGTCAGCATGCACTTTGAGAGAGTAGCTAGGAGGGATGCACTGCATATGAGACATAAGTACAAAAAGGTGTTCTCAACTATGGAAAGCTCTTCTCTTTGGTACTAGCTTTGGTAATTCGGTCTCCAACTTTTTGGGTGATTCAGACGCATCACTACTATGATGAACAGCAGTTAAACACAGACACTGATAAGCAAGAAGATGGGGAAAGGGACTGATACAGCTCAAAAAATGAACAAAAATTCCCACCTCCAAATGTTGGGAGGAATAAACAGAAAATCTTCCTCCTCTGACAGCTACTAACTTTTAAGCAAAAATAACACTCCTTTTTCTTTGCTTAAAATTTTACGAACCTTCAGGCTAAAGCTCTCTATTTCAGTTTTCTTTGTCAGGCCAAAGGCTTTGAAGAGCTCCAGTACCGCGTGCTGACCTATTTCTAAGAACAACAATATGGAAACATGCCCCTTTCCATTAAATGAATCTTTATATCTAGTTCACGCTTGAGCAAAAAGGAGAAGTGGGGGTGCAGAGGATGGGTTAGATATTGAACTTTCACTGTTGCCTTTGCACTATGAACTTGCTCAGTCAAATCTCTAGTTTTGGCAGCTGGTGCTTCCAAGGAGCTGGTCAGCAGCGAACATGTCCTGCTTCTTCAGAACCTGCGCCTGAGGCCAGGCAGCTCACCTGCACTGGGGAAAATGAATTGGGATCTTTCACATTTGTTTGTGGTTGAGACGTTGAGGAAGTATTTGTCTAGGTGATCTCTGAGTTCCTACCACTGTGATCATGCCAGTAGGCACAATAATAGGTAGCAGTGTCATCTGGGATGACATCATTTATTGTAAGAATATACACTTTCTGGCTAGAAAGTTTTTCAACCATGTACTTGTATGCTTGGAAGCCTTCGTCTACTACTTTTGTCCCTGCTAAGTAGACAATCCTCTCTGGAACTTTATTCACCTTCTGTTGATACCAGTGTATGATGGTGCGATCAAAATCTTCAGAGACATCTTTAAAGTGACATTCCAGACGTACACTTCCTTTAGACTTGGTGATGGAAATAGGGCTCTGCACAGGAATTTCTTGTGTAAATCCATCTAGGAAAGAGAGAAGGAGAGATGATGTCATTAGCTGGGATTCGGGGATTTGGGAAGACACCTATTAGCACAGCCATGGGTGCATGTGAGAAAAGGTAGGAAAATAAGGAAGGACTTACAAGACCAGGTGGCTGTGGCCACAAGCGCTGCCAGCAGCAGCATGTTTGCTTGTCATGCTCTGCTGTCGTTGAGACTCGGAGGAGAAGCAAACTGGCCCTGGTGCAGAGTGAGCAATGCTGCATGGGAGGAGGAGGGGACGCCCTTGGGTGGCAGCTGGTGACACGGTGTGTCAAGCCAGAGGAATGTGTCCCCTGAGCTCCTGTGGGGAGCAGTAGGGACAGGGGAGCAAGCGGGAAGGGAAGGGAAGGGAAGGGAAAAAGGG